GAACAGCGAAGGAACATCACCCTTTTATTTTCCAACATTTCTGGCTGATGAAAAACATCCTTCGAAGATAGTGCGCCCGTCCATCGCCGGCTGGCGCCATTCCTAGTGGCAGTGCTCTAGTCTAGAATTTCATCCAGCTCCTCCTCGGGCCCCTGGCAGGTGATCTTCTCGCTCTTGCAGGACCTCTTTCCGGGCTTGTAGTAGCAGAGTTTGTATTTGCCGCTGCCGGCGTTCCGCACCTAAGACAGGGCAAGGTGGATTGCTCCACACATAGCGCAGCGTCTCCTGCAACGACAAAGCTGGTGGCTCGCCGGGCGGCCCATCAGGCAACAAGGGGCAGTGCAACTCTAAAAAGTGCGCATGTGTATGGGCGGCGGCGGTGGAGAAGAGGACCCTCCGCCCAGTAAATCTTCCAGCCACCTCCCCTCCCCTCTCTCTGCAGGTGTGAGAAGCCTGAGTTCACAAGCGGTTGCGGAGGAGGAGGCGCCGTACACCATGAGCACCTTGGCGAGGAGGAGCTGGCAGAGCGAGACGCGAGGTTGCCGAGGCCGCCGTTCATGCCGAGGGCGTAGCCGGCGCGGCGGCGCGGGTAGAAGGGGTTGATGTTGGCCATCGACGAGGCGAAGGCGCCGCCGCCGACGCCCGACATCATCGCGGCGAACACGATGACGATCGCGTAGACGTCAGCGCTCATGAGGGCGATGCCGGCCCAGAGGCACGGGATGGCGAGGCCGATGGAGGTCAGGTTGACGACGTTACGGCTACGAATGCGAGGGGGGCGGGGGGGGGGGGGGCGCACGGCGTGGCGTCATAGTTCTTGGTCTGCCAATCGTTGAAGGCATCCTGCGTGGCTTTCTGCCAGGTGGAGCAGCACACCTTGTCGTACCAGCCTGGCTCGGAGGGCGCGGACGCGGGAGGGGCGGTGGGCGGGGGTGGGCGAGGGTGAGAGCAGGGGGGGGCGGGGTCGGGGCTGCACGCGGGCAGCCGCGAAAGCCCTCGTTGATGCCGTCGATGCTCGGGGCAAAGTCTTTTTGAAGTAGAAGACGCCGGGGTCGGCGGTGTGAGCGGCTATGCGGGTTGAGGACGAGGTGAGGAGAGGCAGCAGGTGCTACGTAGGGTGAGAGGGAGGTCCGGGCGAGTCAGGTCTCCACCTTGAATCTTGGTCGTGATGACGGACCACCCGAAGACGCCAACGCGGGGCGCGGGCGTGCAGCGGCAAGCCCCATGCGGGACGGGGCGAGGGCGGCGGCGGGCTCAGGGTGGGGACTCCGCACACATGAGCCAGACGGCAAAGCCCATGAGGAGGTTCGGGACGGAGGCCCAGAGGTTGCGCGTGGCGATGTTGAGGCCCTCCTTTTCGTAAAACTCCTTGTCTTCGATGTCCCACTCCTGTTGTTCATCGGGAGAGGGCGTGTCGAGTCCGCGATGAAATTAGACATTCTTATCTTTTTTGCCCCCCTCCGAGACTGGAGACAGAACCCAGAGATACATACGTCAAAGGGACTGCCCCCCGCCCCCGCTTGCCCTGCCTGCGCAGGATAGCGTGCCCCGATAACGGCGACACTTAGCGAGGGTCACTGCGCAAGGAGAGAGGGTGCGAAGCCTTTTCTTTTTGTCCTGCTCTCGGGGGAATGTTCTCTCGGTGCCCATGGCCTTCTGAGGTTTCGTACTAATGACGTCCTTCTTGGCACTTCGGGCGTCGGATGTGCGTATCTGTGGTGCTAATTCCCCCGGTATGCTATAGGTTTCCCGAACCGATCCTCCTCTCTATCTCGCTTGCCTCCCTTCCCTTCGATAACCCCGAGTGGCCTCCGGTTCGAGCTCGGCAAGTTGACCCTCTTGTATATTTTTTCACACCTGAGCGGGCTCAATTTTGCTCTAGGTGCCTCCTACGGATTCGAACCCACTGTTTTTCGGCCAGGCGGCCGGTGCGTTGGTCGTTCTCGTCATGTGCATCACGGCCTCGTGCAGCCGCTGCTGTGCCAGTCCGGATCAGCCGCGTCGATGTCCTGCGCTGACGAGCCGACGCTGGGGCAAAGCAGTGATTCCTCTTTGAGAGAGCCTTCGCTCTCCTGACTCCTCTTTCTCTCTCTTGCCGATACTAGCGCGGCATGAAGACCCGCATCACGCAGCGATCCTCGGGTGGTAGTGCGCGCCAAGCGCCACCGCCGCCGGCTGCTGCGGCGGCGAGTCGCACCAGTCCGCATAGTGCCGGCCGAGCCACAGCCGCTTGCACGCCGCGCCCTTGTACGCGGGCAGTCGCTCCCCCTTGACCCAAGCGCTCACCATCGCCAGCGCCGCTGCGGGGCGGTCGGCGGGCACCAAGTGGCCGGCGCCTAATCATGAACTCTCACTTCATCATTGTACGAATCGCGAGCGGCCGGAACAAGGTGGCCGCTGCCCGCGACAGTGGCGAACGTGAGCCCGCTCGCGTACGTTTCGACGTGGCCAGCAAACTCGTAGCGCGGCGGAGCGCCCCACTTGCGCCGCGGCTCCGTCTGCGCGGCGCCGGCGACGCGCGGCACCCACCGCTCGGCGCCGACGTCCGGCACGCCTGTTCACAGCTGGAGGCGTGAAGAGGCTCTGTCACACCGGCACGCACCGCTCGGCGCCGACGTCCGGCTCGCCCGTGTCTGCGAGGCCCGAGTAGATGAGGGTGGGCACCCCCGCGGCGAGGAGGTCGCGGTAGGCGGGCCTGCGTCGTGAACACGGGGGTGTGGTGGGCGCACTGCATAGGACTGGAATACGGCCGAGGACGCGTCCTCTCGAGTGCTAGTCGGAATACACACGGCTCTGCACTCCGCATCTAGGTCGACTGGCTGTGCGTCCGCCTCCGTGATGTGGTAGTAGGGCGAGTCGCCGTCCCAGCTCTCCCACGCCAGCGGCGGCTCGCCTAGAAAGGGATATGGCGTTCACAGCACGTCTTTCCCCACCGCTCTCCCACGCCAGCGGCGGCTCGCCCGGCAGGATGACGCCGAGCGCGCGCTGTGTGGCCGGCAGCGCGAGGTACCTGATGATAAATGTACCACTGAGTGATCAACGATCAGTGCGAACCATCAGTGAGTGGCCGGCAGCGCGAGGTGCCTCAAGCGGTGCCTCAAGGCGCGAGGGTACCAGGGTACGGGAAGGAGATTGAGGTGGCCTAGGAGCCCAGAGGTACTAGCTGCTAGGTAGAGGAGGGCACGAGAAGGCCTCTCCAGGGGAGAGAGAGGTGGCCGAGCAGCCTAGAGTGGCCAGCAGGGCGGAGCAACCTCGGAAGGACGCCCGTCGCACAAGCGAAGGCCGAGCCGTCGCCCCAGTTGCCTTGCCCGTCGGGGCCGCAAGGGGAGGACCAGTGGTACTGGTTGTACTCGCCAACCTCGACGAAGAGGGCCGACACCGCCGCCGCGCACCCGCGCGAGAGCTGGCCGGGCTGCCTGGGAGGGTTGGGGTTGGGGCGGGGCGAGTCAGGCTCACGGCGAGGGTCATGGCCATGGTCGTGACGGCTGCCTCCCCGTCCGGAGCTCGGCAGGTGTGCACTTCGACCGCGCGGTGGCGATGGCGGCCCTGCTGACTCCGGGCGCAAGTCGCTCGAGCGTCGAGACAAAGATGTCGAGCGAGTCGAGGCCGCAGCCGCCCTCGACGCCGTAGCCGACGCAGCCATTTCCGACGGCGATGCCGGCGAGCGCCACGCCTCTGGCCCGCAGGCTTGCGTCGCGCAGGACCAGCTGCGCCAGCAGTGGCACGTAGATGCCGCCGTAGCTCTCGCCGGCGAGGACCAGGCTGCGCGAAGCCTCGGCCGGCTGCGAGGCGTAGAAGGCTCTGAGCGTGGCGAGGTTCGCGAGCGCCGAGGTGGTGTCGTTCCACACGCGCGGGCAGCCGCCGAGGCAGCGCGAGAAGCCGACGCCGGCGGGCTGCTCCCACACCAGGAGCGAGCCGAGCCGGCTCCACGCGTGCGGGTTCGAGAAGGGCCGCCAGCCGTCGGAGGCGTCGAGGGAGAATGCGCCGGCGGCCGGCACGGACTGGAGGTTGAGAAGCGTCGGGCCAAGCTCGGTGAAGAAGCCCATCAGAGAGGAGGCGCCCGGGCCGCCGTTCATCCACGCGATCAGAGGGGTGGACTTGTCCTCATGCTCGACGTGCGCATGGAAGACGGAGCAGTCTCCGACGGGCGAGGTGACCTTGAGCATCCCGGCAGTGTAGCGAGCGGTCGCGTTGAGGGACAGGCCCGGCAGAGGGTGCGGCAGGGCGGCGGAAAGCGCGATCGAGAGCGTGGCGAGCATGGCGCCAAACCCGCGACACACAGGGTTCCAACTTTTTGCGGGGTATGGTATGGTAGTCTCGCGGCCCAAAGGGTGGGGGGGTATGGTCCTGACCGCCCATCCCCGGTCTCCGGGAGGCTGGGTCTGTCAGCAGGCGGGGGGGGTATGGTCTCGAGGTGGGTTGCGCGAGACTACCATACCATACCCCGCAAAAAGTCCGAACCCAGCGACGTTTTTCTTCTTTGAGGGTGTTCACGGCTAAACGTCCTTCACTTCGCAGTGTCCCAGTTGTTGGTCGCTAACTGTATTTCGCCTTCCTATCCCGCGCTTGATGGTTAAAAGTACGTACACAACCCTCCTAGTAGGAGGTCCTAGCAAACCCTCCAGTCTAGCAACAAACAAAACAATGCGAAAAATCTCTCTCACTCTCTCTCCCAGTCTAGACACGCCCCTTGCAAGACCGGGTTTGCTAGTTGACGAAAGTTTTGCCGAGAGTACCATGCGCGTTGACTAATACTTGATCCGAGATAGCCCAAGCACCCATCACATGCGGCCATATCACCGTGGGTTACCGCTTCCCATCTGAACAGCGAAGTCAAGCACGGTCGAGCTCAGGTAGTACTTCCATCCGGGAGGGGGAGGGAAGGCTGAGTGCTGCATGTTTTGCCTCCCACATAAGCGGGCGCCGGAACGGCGCCGGATATTCCGGCTTCAGGGCGCTGGTACGCAGCTTTTTGCGCGTGGCAACGCCTCACCTCCGCCATGGCCATGGCGTCGCGCTCCGGCAAGCGCGTCCGCACCGAGAGCGACGGCAACGGCGGTGAGGAGGGCGAGCCCGTGGCGGTCGCTGCCGGCTTCGAGGCACCCATCTTTGGCGCGCGCACCGTCGGCCAGGTCACCACGCTGGAGCTCGAGGGCGAGGACGGACCTCTGGCGTCCCTCAGCCTGCGCGGCGTGGCAAGCGATCACGCGGGTGCCTGGTACGTCGCGGCTGAGGACTCGTTCCTGCACGTCTCGGCGACCGGGCGCGTGCGCAGCATAGCAACCCTCGAGGACGAAGGCTTCTAGTTCTACTGCATCCCATCAGCCCGGATGGCAGCATGCTGGTTGTGGCCGACTTACATCCGTCGGGTGGAGGTGGCAACTGGCGCGGTCACGACGCTCGCGGGCAGCGGCGAAAAAGGCAATGCGGATGGCGTGGGCGATGCGGCGCAGTTCAACGAACCACACGGCCTCGCGGTCAGCCCGGACGGCAGCGCGCTGTTTGTGGCGGACTGCGACAACCACAAGATCCGTCGGGTGGAGGTGGCGACTGATGCTGAGACTACGCTCGCGGGCAGCGGCGAAAACAGCGACGCGGATGGCGTGGGCGATGCGGCGCAATTCCACTTCCCACACAGCCTCGCGGTCAGCCCGGACGGCTGCGCGCTGTTTGTGAGGACTCCATCAACGACAAGATCCGGCGGGTGGAGGTGGCGACGGGTGCGGTGACTACGCTCGCGGGCAGCGGTGCCTGCGGCAGCGTTGATGGCGTGGGTGACGAGGCGCGGTTCGTATGCCTCGCGACCTCGCCATCAGCGCCGACGGCAGCACCCTCTCGGTCTGCGACTTTCGGCGGACCATGTTTGGCATCGGCATGAAGTAGCGCGACGCCGCCGAGGTCTCGTCCTGCGGCAGCTGGCGCAGATGTACCAGGTGCCGCGCCTCGAGCTGCTCTGCGCGCAGGAGCTGCAGGAGAGCGTCGGGCCGGCGAGCGCCGCGCCGCTGCTCGAGGCGGCGCACACGACGGGCGACGGGCGGCTCCTCGCGCAGTGCCGCCGCTTCGTGGCCGACCACGCCGCCGAGGTGCGCGCGAGCGGCGGCGTGGAGCAGCTGCGCGACCTCGGCGTGGCCAAGGGGCTGCTCGGCGACGCGCTCGACCAGGTGGCGGAGCTGAAGAAGGGGCGCGCGGCGGCCTGACGCATTGACGCGCGCCGTCATTGTGTGTGGGTGAGCGGTCAGCGCGCCATGATGATGATCCACACGGAGTGTATGTAACTGTATGTGCAAAGAAGAGACGATTCGACTTGGTGGATTTGGGCGAGAGTGGAAAACCTTTCTCCGTTTTCAAAGGCGGCGGCGGAGGGATGCGTCCTGTTGGCGGGCGGGGGACGTCGACCTGCACCTGGGCTGGAGAGTGGAGAGTACGAGAGACGGCAGTCGGCAGACGCGACCTTCGTCGCTCGAGCTTCGTCGCTCTTGACGGGAGCGGGCGCCCGCGAAAGCGCACGCGGCAGCGAGGATACACGGCCCGCGTTTTCTCGTTTTTGGGGGCGCGCCGCCAGGCGCGTCCCCACTTTTGTATCACAGCTGCGAGGGCCAACCAAGGGATTCGGCGCGTCAAGTTAACTTGACCGCTCGTTCGGGCTTTGGGCCGCAGGCCGGCGCGCAGCGCCACGCCGCCAGGCGTCCGCCGGAGGCCCGCCGGAGGCTCTTCCTGCGGCCACATTCTGGCAAGATTCCGCCGCGCTCAGGCGCCCAGAGGATGCGTGCGCTGCGCTCAAACGTCGCGATTTGGCAATAGGCGCTCGAGCCGGCGCACAGCGGACGGGTGCGCCGCGCAGGGGGGGTCGGAGGGGTGCGAGAGGGGGCGTGGGTCAGGCGCGCACCGGCAGGCTCCGGGAGCGGCCGTCACGTCGAGGAGGGGGGCTGTCGGCGGCTCGAGCGGCGAGGCGTGCCACTCTGCTTCGCCGCCGACAGCCCCTCTTCCGAGCCGGCGCGTGGCGACGAGCCGCGGCCAGTGTCGCTGGTTCCTTTGGCGGCGCAGCGTTTATCCCCCCCACCCGCGCCCGCCCGCCCGACCGCCCGCCCGCCCTCAGGCCTTGCCCCTTCGCAGGCGCGGGAGCGCTCGCCGGCGAGCACCTCCTACCTCTCCTCGCCCGGCTGCTCCCTTGCCCCGTCGCCCGCCGCGCCCTCGCCCGGCCTCAAGAGCTTGGCGGCCTTTGTCCGCCAGCTCAAGGCGTGGGACGAGGCGTGCGCCGACGGCCGCTCGTCGTGCTGGTTCGAGACGGAGGGCGACCTCCCGCGGCTGGCCGGGGAGGCGCTGCTGGCCGAGGCGGCCGCGACGGGCGCGAGGCGGATCGCCTTTGACGCCGTCGCGGCGCGTCTCGAGGCGACCGCGGCGCCGCCGCCGCCTCTCGGCACCGCCTTGGCCGCGTGGCCCACGGGATGGGGCATCGAGGAGGGCAACTTCTGCGGGCTGGCGCACTGGGCTGTGGAGGTGTGGCACGCGGCCGGGTCGGTCGACGCGAGCCGGTGGCAGGTCGAGGCTGACGGAGGGCGCCTCTTCTTTGTGCGGGTCGCGGAAAAGGCCGCATAATCGCGCTCTCCGCCGAGGCCCGCCTCGGCGACGGCGCTCGCCGCGTAGCAGCAGCAGTAGCAGCAGCAGCAGCAGCACGTGATTCTTGACACATGATTACACTACACAGTCCTCCCTTCGGTTGTCGTTTCGACCCTGTTTTTTTCTTCTATCGCAGCGCACTCGCATCTGTGAGCCTAGCGCAGCGCGAACTCGCCGTCTGAGCCTAGCGCAGCGCGAACTCGCTCTGAGCCTAGCGCAGCGCCTCGGAAAACACCATTTTGGCTCGCCAACAAGCCCTCCGCGCCCCCACACCGTTAGGATAATACATTTTTGCCAGTCCCTTCCCCCGGCTGCGACTGCTGACTCACCATTATGCGGCTCCCTCTTCTCGTTGTCGCCTGTGCGGCCGCCGCCTCCTCCGAGCTGGCGCCGGCGCCGGCGCCCGGCCACCGTCCGGCGCTTCCGCGGCAATGCAAGGCCGATCAGCTGGTTGCCGCGGGCGGCAAGCGCGGCGGAGCCGTGCCGGCCGTGTGGGCGCCTCCGTCGTACGGCTGGGCCATCCTCTCCAACTGGCTCTACTTTCTCTCCCTCGGCCTCAACGCCGTGAACGTGCAGTACCTCGTGCGGCTGATAGTGAACGCCGACGGCAGCACCGCGCCGAGCCCTGCGGCGATCGCGCTGAGCGGGCGGGTGGAGACGGTGGACAAGCTGCTCACCTTCCTCGGCGTCGGCCTCCTCTCCGCCCTCTCCGACGTCCGTGGCCGCAAGCCGCTGATGGCATGGTCCGCTCTCGGCTTCGCCGCGACCAACCTGCTGCAGGCGTCCGCCGGTGCCGGATCCATCGGCCGGCTCTACCTCGCGGACCTCATCGACGGGTGCTCGTCCTGCATGACGCCAATCTGCCAGGCGTACGTCGCGGACTGCTCGCCCGCCTCGCGGCGCGCGCAGAACCTCGGCGTCTCCCGCGCCGGTCGTGTGGACGACACGAAGAGAAGCCGACTCGAGAAAGAAGGTCAGTGTTGCGATAGGCGTCTTCCAGGGCCTGTCGGTGGGCGGCGCGTTCCTGCTCGCCTTCCCCATCGGAGGCGTGCTCGGAGCAAAGTTGGGCCCGCGCGCGCCGCTCCGGATCGCCGCCGCGCTGCAAGTCGTCAACGCCGCCCTCATCGCGCTGCTCGTGCCGGAGTCCAACCCGCCGCACCGGCGGCGGAGGCAGCAGGCCGACAGAGAGATGAGACATCCTCTCACACGGAGATGTAGTGCCGGAGTCCAACCCGCCGCACCGGCGGCGGAGGCAGCAGGCCGACAGAGAGATGAGACATCCTCTCACACGGAGATGTAGTGCCGGAGTCCAACCCGCCGCACCGGCGGCGGAGGCAGCAGCCGAGGTGCAGCCGAGGTGCAGCCGAGATGCACCTCAGAGCCTTCTCGCTCTCGACTGCAACCGCCCTCTACTGCATCTGCCGCAGGTGGACCTGAGGGAGGCCAACCCGATCGGTGCCCTCCGCCGCCTCTTCGGGCGAGCCGGGCTGCTGCGGAGCGCCGCGCTGGCATACGGTTTCGTCTCCCTCGCGCGCAACGCGCTCGACGCGCAGTTCGTCAACTACGCCAGCGTGCGGTCCGGCTGCACTGCAGCAGCTGACGCGTCTGCACCACGGATCGCCACTGATTGAGCCGATGCTGTCCCTATAGGTTTGGCTGGTCGCAGCAGCAGACGGGCCCGATCATGGTGGTGGTGGGCCTCATGCTCGCCGTCGCGCCAAGGCTGCTCGTGCCGCGCCTCGGCCCGCGACGCGCCGTCCTGCTGCCGCGCCCGCGTGAGCAGCGTCTGATCAACACACACACGCGTGAGCAGGCCTTCAGCGCGCCGTCCTCTACGGGCTCGCTGTCTTCGCGGCCGGTCTCGGCGGCGCGGGCGCCTCCCCCTCGCCCACAGGCTTCCTCGCCTCCATCGTCGTCGTCTCGGTCGGCTGTGTCTGCATCCCCGCCCTCCAGGCCCTCCTCACCAACATCGCGCCGCCCGGCGAGCGAGGTGCACTCCTCGGCGCACTCGGCGCCCTCACCGAGCTCACCGGCGCCATCGGCTCGACGCTGTACGCCGCTGTCCTCGCCGCCTTCACCGCCGAGGCGCCGCCGCTGCCGCTGCCCGGGATGCACTTCTTCGTCGGCGCGGCGATGCTGGTGGCCGCGTGGGCGCTCGCGGCGCGCGGCTTCGCCACACACGCGGCCGAGGCGCGCGCCGCCGCGGCGGCGGGGCCGGCCGGGGCCGCGGACGAGTAGTTGCGCCGCGGCGTGTGTGTCCTCACTACTTGTGCGAGGGCGGAGCGGAGGCGCGACGGGGGGGCGTTCGGCCTCTGGTGGGGGCTCTGGGGCTCTGGTGCCGGCGTCACTACTCCGGCGTCACGTGGTGAGCGTGGAAGCTCTACACCTGCTGACTGCGCACTGTCACACAAGAGCACAGCGTACTTGTACCGCAATAAAACCACCCCCGCCTCACGCTCGCCGAGCTCACAACCCGGCGCGAGCCGCATCGTCCATCGAGACTGACGTGGAGCAGTTCGACTTCAGCGCTGGGCCGCGAGCGCGAGTGCCGAGTGGATGGGACTGTGCCTTGTCGAGTGCGAGCAGTTGGGCTCCGCCGGGAGCATGAGGTGTTCTCTGGGCGCCAGCAGACGCGAGCGCGCGAGCGCGTATGTTGAACTGTGGACGCTCCACAGCAACACTCCAAGAACACTCGTTCACTCCAAGCGGGGTAGACACGTTCGTAATCGTTTTCTTTTCGGGTTTCGTGGGTTCCTACACAGATAAAAGAATGGACAAAAACAACTCTCTCCGCGCGCTCACTGACACAGGCGTTGGACAGGAAAAATATTAATTGCGACAAAACTCTCTCTCCCGCACAATCAAGTGAACGACAACAAAAATCTCTCTCACAAGTGACAACAGTCAGAAGACAGAACACGCTCGGCTGGAGACCGAGAGGCCCTGGACACGTGTCTGACGGGCACTCTAGTAGTCGCGCACGCTGGCGACTGGTGGGACAGTAACTAAGTGCCCATTCGTTTTTTGTTAGTTACAGCGATCTCAGTGTTCTTCACACGGCTCTCTCTCTCGCTCTCTAAGCTCTCTCGGCCATCGCAAGAGCAGATTCTCAATGAGCTTGCGGCGAGGCCGAGGGCGGTCGAGTGCACGCAGCACGGAGCTAAGAGAGTGCCTCGCCGTCCTCGCAGGAGTCGCTTAGGCGGCTCCCGTGGTGTTAGTACCTGTGTCTGTCAGAGTACCCAGCGCGCGCGAGTTCCGTGCCAACCGAGACCCCTCCCCACCGCCCCGATCCCCCCACCCCCTTGCTCCCCTCCCCCCCTCGGAGGGCCGAACTGAGGCGCCCGTGGGGACCCCGCAATTCCCTTCCCCCCTCGGAGGGCCGGACAGAGGCGTCGAGGGGCCCCGCTCTTTCCCTCGCATAGCGGCCACTCTTCGGATCGCTGGTCGAGCGACCCGGGGGATGCCGGATGCCCCGCGCGCCTGACCCAGGCGCGAAAACGAATCTGCGAGGCGTGGCCGCTCATGCGGCCCGATGGGGAGGAGCGGGGCGAACTACGGGGATCGGCTTCTTACACAGCCCTTCCCTGCAGCGAGCCCCCCTCCAACCCACCCGCGCTAGGTCTCGAGTTTGACGCATGGGGTCACTCCCGCGAAACTCGTGAACTAGCCGGGGCAGTCGGAGAAGGGGCAACTCCGTGCACTGACGGTCGGCCGTCAGAAACCACGCCTGCGTGGATCGCGTCACACCAATCCTCGCTACCCAACGCGGCCAAAGGATTTCTCTCTCTCAAGGATTTCCACCTCGAGAACCTCGAGAGAACCGTAAAAAGAAAGAAAGAAAACGGAGAACCCAAGGGAGGGATGGGAGGACGGCACGCCGCCACCACACAGGGATTTTAAGGAGAGGAAGGAGTGTGGTGCTAGCCGTCGCCCGAGAACCGTGCCAAGTGTTTTCCGAAAAATTCTTTTCGCAAAAATGGCCCACCAAACGGGCACTCCACCAACCTTCTCGAGTAACCAAATGCTCGTGCAAATCCTCGCGCTCTCCTTCAGCTTCACGCCGACGCCCCCGGCAAAGTCTGGGGCGGCGGCGGTGCACTCTCGCCGCAGTGCCTTCTCGCTGGGCACGTCGCTCGGACTTGCGCCACTGCTCTTCTCGTCCAGGGCGCTCGCGGCTTGTGACATCGAGCCAGAGTGCTCCTCGCCCAACCTCGGCGCGCCACGGTGGAGCAAGGCCGGCCAGCAAGCTGCTCGTGCCCTAGCGGACGTGCGTCTCAAGGAGGAGTCCATCGCCAAGGCTGCCGCGGACAAGAAGGCGGCCGAGGAGGAGGCTGCTAGGCAGAAAGCTGCCGCCGAGGCTGCAGCGGCCGCGGCGGAGAAGACTAAGAAGGAGGAAGAGCTGGCAGCGGCAGCGGCAGCGAAGGCCAAGGCGAAGGAGGCTAAGGCTGCGCCGCCCAAGGCCGCGGCGCCAAAGGCGGCAACGCCGGCCCCTTCGAAACCTGCGGCAAAGGCAGCTCCGGCCCCGAAAGGCGGCGGCGGCGAGTGCACGAAGCTTATCACCGGCCGTGAGGTCTGCAAGTAATGGGGGGCGCTCTCCTGCGCATCGTGCAGATGCATGACCCTCCCACAGGCCATAGCTCATGACAAAGAAAGGTCGTGGTGGCTCTGGCGCCGTGCGACTCTGGACGGTCACGGTACCGCTCTCACGTACACGTATGCATGCGTCAAGCCGTGATTCACATTCTGTTTCAATTAAGAAGATCGCCGGGAGAAAGAGCTACTGGTATACGAGATGGAAAGGGGAGATATACCGATCACCATTTTTAAATAAGCAGTGCTCGCCGCCGCCCTGCCCTGCCCTGCCCAGCCCTCGCACAAACAAACCAACACACACCACACACAAGACACAACACACACACACATTCACACACACACACAACACACCCTGCCCTCACTCGAGCGCCCCGCGCCCTCCCGCCCCACGCCCTGCGCCTCACGCCTCACGTCCCACGCACGCCCCGCGCCCCGCGCCCCCACGCCCCTCACCTGGGCGCGTCTTGTCAGATGCCAAGCCGTAACTTGCGTGAAGGGCGCCTCTCATGCTTTTGACCGTGAACAGGTGCGGGCGCCTCGCTCACTGTCTCTCTGGTCGCTGTCGACGCGCTGCGGAAACTGCGCGCAAAGGTAAAGCAGGCCGCCCGCCCTAAGGGAGCGTCCGCCTCTGCCGGTGCGGCGACAGCACGGCAGCCTACCGCGCCGCCGCAGCCTACCGCGCCCGCCGCAGGCGCAGCACCAGCATCGTCAGTTTCCGCCTTTCTAGCCGCACCCGCAGCCGCGACAGCAGCCACGACGGCAGCTGTGCCAGCAGCCACGCCGGTGGCGCCGAAGCAGTCCTCGGCTGCCGCGTTCCTGGCGAATTCGGGCTGAGGGAGGGCGTCGCTATCTCTAGCAACTAGCATGACCGTTTGACTGCTTCGAACTGCTGTGACCTGCCTGTGACCTGATGACTGTGATGTGTGCTGCACGCTGCAAATTCAGCGCTGCACCTCTGGCTCCTGCGTGGCCTGTGGGGACAGGGGAGACCTGCCGCCGCGGTGCCGCAGCCCCCACCTGCCGCCGGCGGCTGTCCCCCCGGCGCGCCTCACTTCGCTTTTTTACCCACCAGCGGCCACACCACCCAGGGTATAACATGTAAGAACGACGCGCACACATTCGGCTGCAGGTTTGCCGAGATGGAGATGGCGCCGCAGCAGTCAGCACCGCTGCTCCGCGCAGACGGAGAGGGGCGGAGAGGGAGCGGGACAGCCGGCCTCGACCCCTTCGATCCACGCTGCTGCTTCCGCACGCGCGGCCTCTGGCCGGCCGCCGCCGATCACCGGCCGTTGAGGTAGTCGCGCCGGTCTGGCCGGCACAGCAGGAGGAGGGGCGTCACCGCGTGCCGGCGTGTGGCTCACTGTGTGGCGGTGGCGGGGCAGTGGGGTGGTGGGGTTGGGGGGGGGGGGGGGGGTTGGGGGTTTTGGCTGCCCTATTGCAAGCTGTTGGCGCGCGCGGAATACATAAAGAGCGAAATCCTGTCCGCCTTTCCGGGGGAAGGGGGGGGGAGGGGGGCAGTGGGCGGGGGCGGGGCATCAGGTTGTGTGCAGGGGCTAAACGCGCGGCGGCGCGAGGGCGGGGATGGGGCTGGGGGGCTGGGGATGTCGTTGTCCGCCGGCGGGGCTCAGGATTAGCATGGTGTGTACGGTCCGCACAGCCGCAGCTAGAGCCGCCGCTCGGCCACGCAAGACGGTTCGTCACAGCCCCGCAGTGAGACGGATTGGGCGTGAGAAGGGGTGGGCAAACGATGGGTCGACTGGTCTCTCACAGCCGCCCTCTCCTCCGCTCCGTGGGAGGGAGGGCGGGGGGGAGAGGAGGGGGCGGACAAGGGCACGGCTCGCGAAAGGTAAGGGGGGTGGTCTCAGGGCCAAGAGAGCTGAAAGAGCGCAAGCCTCGTCGACAGTTTGCGCAGCAAAGTGCTTCGCGATCGCAAGCGCGAGCTCTGTCTTTGTCACGTTCTGCGGGGCGAGGGGCAGGGTGGGGTGAGCGGATGCAGCGGAGGCAGCGGCGGCGGCGGCGGCGGCGGCGGCGGCGGCGAAGGCGAAGGCGAAGGCGGGAGGTGGCAGCGGCGGGAGCGGCGGCAACGGCGGCAGCAGCGGTGGCGGCGAGACCGCTAGCACGCCCTCAAGGGAGGGAGGACGGGCCGAGGCGAGCCGAGGCGGCGGGCGGCGGCCGCGCCTGGCGCGTCTTCAGCCGGTAGTGCCGCTTGTAGCGCTTTAGCGTAGCCATGTCCAGTTTTGTGAAGTCGACCGTCTGGCCGCGGCGGGGCGTGCGGGAGTGAGGACGGAGCATGGACGGTGGCGCGTCGCTCGTCCAGCTATAGGAGGCGAGGGTGCACGCACCAGGCTGCGGGCGTCCTTCTCCGATCGCATCGGTGCCGAGCCGTCCTCCTCGTCCTCCCGCTTGGGCTTGACGCCCTTCATCCCCTTGTTTGCAGCAGCACGTGAGCGCTCGACATACCCAAAGTCCTGGCGCGCCATGTTGGGCCGGACCTGGCGCTTGCCGACGACGCGGCGAGACGGCTCCATCTCGCTAGAGGCGACGGCCAAGCGGGAGGGGAGCTCGAAGGCTAGAGAGGTGCCCTCGCTCGGCGGCGGCAGCCCTGGTTTTTTTTATGAGACCCGAGGCGTCTCGCATGAGAGACCCCCTTTGTTGGATCTCTAGTTGTTCCCCTTACAGCAGTGGCAGTCCGCTCACTGCGGTTTCTCTGGACGCTTGGGGGCTTCCATGGACGCTGGGGTTGGAGGAGAGGGTAGCGGCGGCGCAAACGCGCCGTTTCCATAGCTCCGTCTTCCGGGGTAACTGCCTGCCTGACTGACTGGGGAAAGGACATAAGTTATCATCGCTGATGAAGATATGGGCAACTTGTGGCCGCGACGGCAAAACGGCACTTGGTCCACCGTGCACCGACCCCCAGCCCAGCCCAGCCCAGCCCGCCCGGCGCCAATACCGCGACGCGACAGAGGGCCCGCGCCGCTTCACTATCACCCACGCCGCAGCACCGCCAGCTTGTCGAGCCGAATGCGCGAGATCACCGAAAGGTCGCAGACGTAGGAGGAGGCACACTGCCCTTTGCAGCCGCAGCCCCAGTCGAGGCGTGTGCCGTCCTCCGCGGTGGCCTTCTCGTACCAGCATCCGATGCCGTCCTTGGCGCAGGGGCACCGCGCGCCGCAACCCTTGGAGCAGCTGCACATGGCGCCATCAGCATCCCACCAATGGGCCAAGTGTGGGTCGCGCTCGCGCTCTGGAAGCTTCGCGAGCTCGCGCTGCTGCCTCTGTTCGTGCGCGGTGGCGGGGTAGTGCACACCACAGTCGTCCATGCCCATGCACACCACGCCAGCCGCGTCTATAAACAGCCTCTCCACCTTCTCGGCAAAGACCACGCGACGCAGCGTACTTTGATGGCGCTTGCCTGCTGCGTCATCATCTTCAAAACTGATGCGGGTGCCGACCATGTATTGCGTGAGCCCTGTGCTGCCGTCATCGCTACGGCGGCGCACGCTGCGTCTCGTTTGGAGGCTCGGTACTTCCGAAGATTCCGACGAGCGCTCCGCGGCACGTTTCGTGCCACTGCTGCTGCCTCGACGCATGTTTTTCCTCGGCTCCGTCCGTCCGCGAATCCGCAGAAACAGCCGTGCGGCGACCCACGGAGCACAGCCGCGGATCGCGCCGGCTCGAGCGCCGCGGCTCCCGGGCGCCGCCGCCACGCCGCCACGAACGAAAGCGGAGTCGCGCGGTCGATACGAGCGCCGAGCGCGCCCTTTCACCCTGGTAGTCTTCCCGCACGCCCACGACACCAACATGCAACAAACACAGACAACACAGCGACCCCAGTCCCACGCCTAACTAAACCCTACGCCTACCCAAACAGAGAAAGTCTTGAGCGTTCCAATTCGTGCCGCGCGCGTGAACGAGCAAATCCACAATATAATGGGTTGCGGCGGAGGCAAGCCGGCAGACACCACACCGAAGCCGGCGGAGCCGGCGGGGCCCACCTGGGACCCGGCGAGCGTCGTGGTGTACACGTGCGCCGACAGCACCAGGCTGTCAGGAGACGGAACACGGAGGAGCTGTATAGGTCACTAGAGACCCACACCATCGCTACATCACCACAGCCACCAAGTCGGATACAAGTCGTAGTCGATGACAATGTGCGCGGCAGGACAAACCAAACATGAGACGGTTACACAAGGACGGTCAGGCTACGGTCAGGAAGTAGGTTTGAGTTCACACTCTCCAACACTCCCCCATTGTCTCCGCAGTCTTCATGAATGAGGATGCGGCAGACAACAACAGCAGAGTGTGAATGTGTCTGAGCGTAGGTATGCCGGTTACCCGCCGGCGTCTCGCGGGGCTGGCTAAGCGTCCAACCTTGCGTCTTCGCGAAGGATGGTCTTGCTTGTCGGCAAGACTTGCGCGCTAAGATGATCCAGTGAAGGGGTCAAAGCGCGGCCGAGTGGGCGGAGAGAGAGAAAGGGGAGATAATGAACAGGAGCTCGTTGTGGAGCTCGGTCATGGCGCGCCGCAGCTGCAATCCGGGCTGAGCGTCGCGGGGCGGCGGCTTGAGCGGGCGCGGCAGGCGCGGCGGGCGCGGGAGCGGCAGCGGGGGCGCCCCCTTGCGGCGCGGCGATTGGGCCGTTGGGAGGCCTCGCCGCGTTGACGCGGATGAGCGCATCAGGGACGTGAGGACGATCTTCAATGCCCCGAACGTTGATGTTGCGCCACGGGCCGCCGACGTCGGAGATGGCAGGCTCAGTCTCAGACGTCCAGACGGCAGAGACGCTCGTAGAGGCGCATTGGACTTCTTGCCAGAGGCGTTGGACAGCGGGACGGGCTAGCGCGAGGAGGCGAGACGAGGAAGAGACAGCAATGAGGTAGAGTGGCATTGCCACGTCGAACAGATGCCCAACACTCCCCCACGACGTGGTAATCGCCACACAAGGCAGAGAGGGCGTGTCGATCGTCGCGTGTTCATCGCGTACAGCTCCGGTCGTGTCGAGCGGCGACGTCGGAAGTAGCGGCGGCGAAAGGCAGGGTCCACATTCGGTGCGAGATCTTTGCGGTAACTGCCGTTGCAGCAGCCCGAGAGCTGGTAGCGGAGGCAGCAGCTGCGATGGTGGTCCGTAGGCGAGGAGAACGGACCGGTAAGGAGAAGCAAGAGGGGATACTCGTGTCAACACAGCCGCAGTGCTGGCGGAGATGCGCTCTGTCGCAGAAGATCCGCAAGCACCCAAGTTGATGTTGCGGTTGTACTCATTCTGCTCAGCCTCCGAGCCGAGCAGTTGGCGGCCGCTGTGCCACCGTGCGCCGAGCCTCTGTGCCCAGCCAATCACCACGGCTCGCTGCAGGTGCCCATGGTGCCAGCCAACGTATCGAGCGTAAGCCGGAAATGCTGTGCGGCAACACATCTCGCTTGTGTGCCGCACCAGCTCTCATGTCGGCCTCAGTGCCGCTCTGCTCACTCCGTGCACTCACCGGTCGGTACCATGTCAGGAGACGGAACACGGAGGAGCTGTATGTATGTATAGGTTACTAGAGACCCACACCATCGCTACATCACCACAGCCACCAAGTCGGATACAAGTCGATGACAATGTGCGCGGCAGGACAAACCAAACATGAGACGGTTACACAAGGACGGTCAGGCTACGGTCAGGAAGTAGGTTTGAGTTCTCCTCTCTCTCTCTCGGTTTGAGTTCACACTCTCCAACAAAGGCGCCAAAAAAATCTGTGACTTCCCGATGGACATCAACCGCCCGACGACCCACCAGTCGACGACCCACCCGTCGACGACGTCGCCACGTCGCCGCCGTGCCTCGCCGAAGCGAGGTGTGCGCGAATCTACTGGGCGCACACCGGATGGCCTCCGTGCGTGGTTGATTGAGGAGGAGGACGCCAAAGTCATGCCTGCCGCGAAGCCTGCGAAGCGAAAACTCTTCAAGGCCTCCCAGCCGAAACATGGTGGCCTGCGAAGAATCCTTCTCTTCTCGCTCTCGGTCACCTTCTTCTACATCCTTTTCCTTCCCCTCCGCAGCCTCGCTCGCTCGCCGCCGCCCTCTCGCACCCTGCACTGCGAGTTCAACGCTCTCGTCGGATGCGTCGTCGCGGCTCGGTCGCACCCGATCGCCTTTGATGGCGCCGCGTGCGCCTGGCGGCCAACGCTGCGGAAGCCGCTTGCGTGCGTGCCGACATCATCGTGGGCGTGACGCCGCCGGCCCTCGTGCGGCCAAGCCACCCTCCCTGTCGCGATGCGCTCCCCGCTCCCCGTTCGTCGCCTCGGCGCTGTCTGCTCGGTTGACGGGCCACCGCGAGTCGAGCCCCCGTCAATCGACCCTGGCAGTGCAAATCGTCCATACCCGCAAATCGCACATACCCGCACCTAAGATGCATCGCACATACCCGCACCTATGTACTTTTGGCGGTGCTCTGTCGGTGTTATGGCCCATGTGCGCGCAGCCGCAGGTCATAACAAACACCGTATCCAAGTGCTCTGTACAAGAAGGGCTGGAGAGGGCCTACGTGTATGCCTCCTAGTGATAATGAATACACGCTTCGAGCGTGGCGGAGGTGGGCCCGAACTACACAATCTGCAATCTCTTTCTCTACATCCTGTGCTGCGCAGCCTCAGCCTACCGCCACTCTTTCGCCGCACCGCCCGTGGCACCGCCTGCCGCCGCTGCCGCTCCGGCCGCAGCATCGCAGGCACACTCGCAGCACCAACAGGCGCAGCAACCCCGGCCCAACGAGTCGCCCGAGGGGTGGACGAGGGTCGGGAAGGGCGGCAAGCCGGACAGGTTCACCATGAAGAACTTCGGCCGCAACCCGCCAAAGTCGGGCAAGCGGAAGCAGGAACACCGCAAGCCCGCACCCAAGGGAGGTGGACCCCCACCCCCTTCTCCCAAGGTGGTGGACAAGAACAGGCTGAGCGCATTGGGCGCTGGCCCTTCTGGCACCAGCGGGAGCACCGAGCGCGCACCGCCGCGCTCTCTCCCTCCCCCACCTCGCCGCCTGCCAAATCGCCGCGGCCGTCTGCGCCTGCTTCCGGGTATGACTCCGAGCTCGAATTTTCCGACGCTGAGGCGCGGGATAGGGTGGCAGGGGTTGTGCACGACGCAGTGCAGCAGGCTGTGATGCAATATGGCTATGCCGACGAGCTCTACCAGGCATGGAGGGACGGCGAGATAGGCGAAAAGGACTTGCCGGAGGAGGTGATGGCTATGACTTTGGACCTTTGCGAGAGGTGGCGAGCGGAGCAAGCGCGGTGTAGGCGCGCCCACGCGGCGCAGCGGCTCTCCCGCGACCATAGCCCCTCCCGCAGCCGCAGCCGTAGCCGCAGCCCCAACTCTTGCTGCTCTTCTAGTGTCGGGTAGTGACCAGGGGGTGAGGGGACGGATTGAAGATCCCTCACACCAAGATCGTGCAGGGCGGGGACACATGTCCCTAAATCCCATCTCGTCTCAGAGTTTGACCGTTATTATTTATTTATTTATTTCCTGTGCTGCGCAGCAACGAGCAAGGAGAAGCACGAAGGGGAAGGCGAAGCGGCGGAAGCGAAAGCGCGAGGATACCAGGGCGGCGCTCGACGGCCACAATGTCCTGTCCACCGGATCGCGCCTCGAGATCTTAACTGGTGTTTGGTGGTCCACACGGGTGCGACGGTCGCTGACGCTGTCGGCTCGAACCCGCTAAGCCATCCCGCAAGGGATGGCCCGCCACACGAGCCTGCAAGCGGGCGTTACGAACCGCGAGCGGCTTGCACTCGTGACACGCCGAGGCGTCCAGGCGGCGCCGGGGCTAGGAGACTACCGAAGAGGGAACTACGGCAAGAACCGCACACCACCCAATCGCTGTGATTTGTGAGAGCTCTGTGTCTTGATCTGCTAACAACAAATCAACAACCCACTGACAACAACGCTCGCGGAACCCGCTGAAAGAGAAAGTATTAGCCACATGAAACCGAGACCCCTCCCCACCACCCCAATCCCCCCACCCCCTTGCTCCCCTCCCCCCCTCGGGAGGGCCGAACTGAGGCGCCCGTGGGGACCCCGCTATTCCCTTCCCCCCTCGGAGGGCCGGACGAGGCGTACCCCGAGGGCCCCACTCTTTCCTTCGCATAGCGGCCACTCTTCGGATCGCTGGTCGAGCGACCCGGGGGATGCCGGATGCCCCGCGCGCCTGACCCAGGCGCGAAAACGAATCTGCGAGGCGTGGCCGCTCATGCGGCCCGATGGGGAGGAGCGGGGCGAACTACGGGGATCGGCCTCTTACACCGCCCTTCCCTGCAGCGAGCCCCCCTCCAACCCACCCGCGCTAGGTCTCGGGTTTGACGCATATGGGGTCACTCCCGCGAAACTCGTGACCTACACTGTAGCCGGGGCCCGGGGTGGCAGTCGGAGAAGGGCAACTCCCGGCACTGTAGACGGTCGGCCGCCAGAAACCACGCCGGCGTGGCTCGGGTGGCTCGGCTGGACTGGGCAGCCGCAACCTCGATGGCGCGGCTCGTGCGCGCCGCTCTCATGCGCGGCGGCACCTCCAAAGGCGTCGTCTTCCGAGCTGCCGGTGCGAGCGCTCACCGCCGGCCCTGAGGCTCAGCACCGATCGGTATTTAACCCGCTTGCTGCCCTGCAAACATTGCAGACCTTCCTCCGGCTGGTGCCGCTCGCGACGCGGTCATCGTTGCCGCGCTTGGCCCCGACTCGACGGGTCTCGCCATCGACGGCGTCGGCGGCGGCGTCACAAGCACGCTCAAAGCGGCCGTCGTGGCGCCGCCGTCAAAGCCCGGCTTTGCCGCCGACTACCACTTTGCTCAGGTCTCACGTGGCGGCGGCATCGACTGGCGCTCCAGCTGCGCCAACTTCGCGTCGGCGGCTGCACTCGTCGCTGCGGACGACGGCATGGCGCTGCGCGAGGCGGACGGCGGGCGTCTAGATGCGGAATGCAGATCCCTGCACCGACGCGCACTCACACTCTCTGTGTACTCAGGCTCTGAACCCGCTGCATGCTGCCGTGCTCACTCCCTGACGCCGGTGTCTTCACAGCAGGCTCGGCGGTCGTCCGCCTCTGGGCAAGCGGCGCAGGAGAGGCTTTGTCGGTGACGCTCCCTGCGACCGACGCGCCGCCCGTCGCGATCGCGGGCGTGCGCGGCGAGGCGCGCGGGAGAGAGAGCTAGAGGCGAGAGACACACAGCCAGACTGGGCGACCGCGGTATGGGTGGGCGCAGGACGGAGGATGCTGGCCACGCGTGGAGCGACACACAGACAGCACAAGACCACACACACAGAGAGGACACTCTGCCCGCGGGTCTGGAGCAGGCGCCGCCGCTGCGGGTCGAGTTTGAGCTTGGCGGGCACGCGCTGCTGCCGACAGGGCGGCCGGAGGAGGAGGGGCTGAGGCTGGGAGACCGACCGCTCCGTGCGACGATCGTCGACGTGGCCGGGAACCCGCAGGTGCTCTGTGCATCTCGGCCGCATATCGGCCGCATCTCGGCCGCATCTCGTCCGCACCTCTGCAGGTGCTTGTGCGCGCCGTGGAGGGCGGGCTAAGAGGGGACGAGGCGGACATCACGTGTGAACAGAAATACAGCGGCGGGATACTTCTGTGTCTAGGCGGGCTGAGAGGGGACGAGGCGGCGGAGGAGGCGACCGCCGCTCTCGTGTGGGAAGCGGTGGATGCCGCCGCTGCACCACATAGTAAATCACCGTCGTTGTAGCCCTCGCAATGAGAAAGGTGAGGCCAACCGGTGGATACGCTGCTGGAGCGGCGGCGCACCAGAAGACGCCCGGCGGGGAGGGAGGAGTCGTCCGTGTCAGGTGGATGCGCTGCTCGACGAGGCGGCGGGGCGGGTGGGCCTAAAAGCGCGGCCGTCGGGGATGCGGCTGCTCTGGCTGAGCGCTCGCCGCGACCACTGCTTGGCGGGGGGCGGGGCCGTCGCTGCCGCAGAGTGCGCCCCTCCTTCCCCTCTCTAGAGCTCATCGGGCGCACATCGAGGGGTGGGCGTCGGTGGGCCTCGGTGGACCTCGGTGGGTGGCACATGCATGCGAGTTGAGAATCAGTGACTGCGTTGTGTATTCACTGGCTCATGCATGCGGGTGGCACATGCATGCAGGTGCGACCTCCTCTCCCGCGTCTCGGCAGGCAGCCGCGTCCACCACGCACACACGGGCACCGGCGCACTCGCGCTCGCATGCGCAGCAGCCGTCCCGGGCACCGTCGCACACGAGCTTGTTCGCGGCGGCGGCGGCGGAGGTTGCGGCGGCGGCGGCGAGGCGGGCGCGGAGCTTCGGATTGCGCACCCCCAAGGCGTGATGCGCGTGCATGCGAGCGTGGGGCGCGACGCGGACGGGCGGCATGTGGCGCACAGCGCAGGGATGGTGAGGACAGCGCGTTATTTGATGGTGGGCGAGGTCGTGGTGTAGTGCTTGGGAGCCCTGGTGCGCGCCCCCCGCCCCCCCCCGGGCGTTGCGTTGCTATCGTGTATTGTCGGGCAGTAAATAAATAAATAAATAAAACGGTCAAACTCTGAGACGAGATGGGATTTAGGGACATGTGTCCCCGCCCTGCCGCACGATCTTGAGGGATCTTCAATCCGTGCGTCCCCTCACCCCTCCGAGCTCCGTCACAATTCGACACGGGAAGTGCAAGTGGAGCGGTGCAAGAGTGTTGGGGCTGCGGCTACGGCTGCGGCTACGAGAGGGGCCGGGCTCGCGGGAGAGCCGCTGCGCCGCGTGGACGCGCCTACACCGCTCTTGCTCCGCTCGCCACCTCTCGCAAAGGTCCAAAGCCGCCACCCGTGAGACAGAGAGACGCCTCACCAAAATTTCCTCCATTAAGTCTCGTAACACGTAAGTCCAAAGTGCTCCAAAGTGCGTGATGATATTTTGAGGAAACTTACGAGAGAAACAGGGGAAATGTTCTGTCGGAGTCGACTGTCGCCTATCGGCCACGTAGGAGGTTGGCGCGTGCAGCGGAACCGCGAAACAGCGCAGGTTTCCGGGTGGGAGCGAGTGCACGCGCCCCGCTAGCCGACGCCTAGGCCGACGCGCGGGTCCAAAACCGCCGCGCGCGACTACCACTCGTCCGACGAGGCGTGCGCCTCCTCGTCGCCCGCCTCGTGCGACTCGCAGAGCCCCGCCATGGAGAGAGTCAGCTGCCGGCGCGAAGGCTGCTGGCCGACGGGGCTGCTCGCGCCTGCTAGTCAATGAAACAGTGTCGTCGTCAGGAAACCTCATTAGGGTCGCTGCCGCCCGACGGGGCTGCACGCGCCGTTGAGGCGGCGACCGGCCTGCGCGTCGGGGGGGGCGGGCGCGTCCGGGTAGCGCGAGAGCAGCTCGCGCAGCTCGGCCCACCTATTAACAGGGGGGAGGTGTGAAGAGGCGCCGTGCACAGCAGGAGCAGCTCGCGCAGCTCGGCGCACTTGCGCTGCAGCGCGTTGTGCTCCGACCACGCGTGGCGCGCGTACGACTGCCACGTGGCGAGCGTGTCTGCGGCGCCGCCCGCCTCGCCGACCACGTCGAGGCCGAGCTGCTCGGCCGCCTACCCCGCGCACTCGTCATCTCGGCTGACCTCGGCTGATCTCGGCTGACCTCGCGCAGCCTAGCTCGGCCGCCTCTGAGTGCCCTTGTGCAGTGCGCCCGTGTGTCGCCCCAGTGTTGCCGTCTCTCTCCCCGTCTCTCTCGGCGGCCTCTCCAGAGCGCGGTGCCCTGCCGCGGCCTGACTGTGGGTCGGCCTCTCCCTCTACCCACCCGCCTCTGCCGCGGCGCTCGAGCCGAGAGGTGCCTCTGCGAGGGTCTGCACGTAGCCGAGCGACTCTGCGTATGCCATGCGCACCAGGGAGGCCTGTTCACAACTCGCGGCCGTGAACAAGCGCCGTCCAGAGCAGCGCCAGGCCGCGCGCTTGACGGGCTGGCGCCTCGACGTCACACGCGACTGTCTTGGAGAGCCGCGTCGCCGACGAGGAGCGCGAGGCGAGCGAGTCGTTCCTCGCCACCCCGAACAGCGCGCGCTCCTCGGCCGCAGGAGAGACGGGCACGGCGCCGCCGCCGACCGCGTTGCCGAGGTGGAGCGAGCTGGGCACCTGCTCGGGGCGCGAGGGTGTGAAGAGGCGCCGCCGCAAGGCGCCGGCGGCCAGCCCACGGCACCGAGATGGAGCGAGGCGCGTTCCACGAGGCGACTTTGGGGAGGCCGCGGGGCGACGGGTTCTCTCGGTCGAGCGAGGCGGTGCGGCGGTCGAGGGACG